ACGAAATGTACATATGCCTTTCGAGTCAATACGATACAAACATAATCTTTCACAAATGTATTCAGATTTGTAAGGAAATAAAAGCAAGAGCATACAAGGATTTTAAGAAATCACATATAGCTCAATTAAAATAAGAAAGTTAGATGAATTCAATGTCCAAAGAAATGAAATTGGAAGAGGCACATATCGAAAGCAAATGCGGAACAATGGGATGCATGTGCCGAATCATTACGATGCAAACATGATCTTTAGATGATAGCTGCAGATGTATAAATAAATAAAGGACAAAAGTATACAAGAATTTAAGGTAATAATGTAAAGCTTAACTGAAGTAAGAGTTTTTTCCAAAATCGATTTCCAAAGAGAAGAAATAAGGAAAGTCAAAATCGACCAAAGCTCGATTCTGGCAGAATTTGATAGGAACATTGTATGAACTATTTGGATAACCAATTATACTCCAATTTATACAAAATAGGTATCATTAGAAATCTTTTCAATCTAGTTTTAGGAAAATCAAGTTTTACAAGAATTGGAATTTACAACAGGGAGTTACAGATAATTTCGTAGCGAAAGGTCTCAAAATATTAGCTATGTTTTACTGAATCCATAGGGTCGATGAAAATAGATGTTTCAGTTAGCCATTGTACTCCAAAATTTTCAAATCAGATATATACAAAAACCATTTTGAGTCTAGCTTCGAATAAATCATACTTTGTATGAATCTGAGTTCACAACATAAAGTTATAAGTAGTTAAGCAACAAGAGGTCAGAAATTTCAGTCCCTATTTTGTAGAATTTGTATGGTTAATTTAAACAGAAGTCTTAGTAGGCATTTAAAATCCAAATCATTCGATTGTAGTATCAAAATAAAGATTTTTTTATCTACTTTCAAATGGAATAGGTTTTGTCTAAATTAGAGTTTATTACAAAATGTTATGACCGAAACATTGTATATAGGTCAGATTACCGAAAAATTATAGATTCATGGCTTTGTATCAAAACAAAAGAAGGTCTGGTTCTCAGTTGAAATCTCTCAAATTTTGCAGAATAAAAATAGAAACAGAGATTAAGGTTACCGTGGGATGGGGTTAGAACACTTGCCTTAAAATTATTTGAATCCCAACTGTGGGAAAATTGATGAAAAACCTCAATCTCTTCTTCTTTTTCTTCTTCTTCCCTTCTTTTCTCAAACTCACGTTGGCTACAACTCTTCAGGTTTGTTTTCTTTAACCTTTCATCTAATTCTTTTTTTTTTAGGTTTTGGCTAATGCAAAAGTTGCAAGGTGTCATGCATGCATGAAAGGGGCTAGGTGTCATCTAGAGTAAACATAAGTGGCACCCTTAGGTTAGCTAGTGACACATGTCCACTTTTTTTTTTTTAACTTAAATCTGAATCTTTCATAAATTATATCAAACTTCTAATATTTACTCTTAGGTCCCTAGCCATAAACTTTTAATATAATATCATTTAATATAAAATAATTATTAAATAATCCTTATTTTTACAAACAAACCTTTTACTAAATTTTCAAAAATGGGAGATGTTATAAGATAGGACATTTAATAAAGGTGGTTGGATTTTAATGAGAGCTACTCACAAATCCGATTCTGCCTCTTCTATGAATGTGACCCTTATTAGCAAGGATCATGTTCAAGGATTTGCTACCAACCTTAAACTTTTCTAGAGTTTATTTGAGTAGCAAGTTTTCCTTCTCAAGTATCTCTAAGTGTTCACACTTAGTACATGGAGACAATGAAAGATTATCATGCTTAAGTTTTTTAATTTCATTATTTAAAAGGGTATACTCCTTTTTAAAAAAATTATAGTTTTTGCTCATTATTCTACATTCATCGAACAAATCATGAAAAGCACTTAAAAGCTCATTGAAAGATAAATTTACATCTAATGAACCACTTACCTTATCTCTTATGGCCATTAGTATGTAGTTGGTGATTTCCTTATTGCTTTATTCTTCATCTTCGGAATCACTTGAATCATCCCACATTACTTTGATTATCTTCTTCTTCTTTGGTTATTTCTTTTTCACTGGGGACATTCGCTTTTGAAATGTTCTGACTTCTTACATTCGTAGCATATAACTTATTCTTTCTTGGGTTCAATTTTATTTTTAATATTATTTTTAGATTTATTTCTTTTTATAAATTATTTGAACTTTCCTCCAAGTGGTCTTCATGAGTTCTTAGTGTCATATCCTTCCTATTTTTTGAAAGGTTATTCTCAAGCTCTTCATGAGCATTGTAAGTCATCTCATAGGTCATTAATGACCTAATAAGTTATTCGAGAGAGAAATTATTTAAATCATTGGCCTCTTGAATGACCATTACTTTAGAGTCACAACTCTTTGGAAAGGATCTCAATATTTTATTAACGAGTTCAAATTTAGAAAAACTTTTACTAAGTGCTTTTAGACCATTGATGACATCTGTAAATAGGGTATACATATCTCCAATAGTCTCACTTGGTTTCATCCGAAACAATTCATAAAAATGGACTAAAAGATTTATTTTGGACTTCTTTACTCTATTAGTGCCTTCATGAGTGATTTTGAGTATGTGTCAAATATCGAAAGTTATTTCACAAATAGACACTCAATTGAACTCATTTTTATCTAAAGCACAAAACAATGCATTCATAGCCTTGGTATTTAAAGAGAAATTTTCTTCTCCAACTCATTCCAATCGTTCATTGAAGAGAAGACTTTTGAAAGTTATTTTTCACAATATTTCATAACTCAAAATCCATAGAAATTAGAAAAATCCTCATTCTAGTTTTCCAATAAGTGTAGTCCATCCCATTGAACATAGGTGAACATGTGATTGAGTGACCCTCTTGGTTGCTGGCAAACATCATCTCTTTTGGATTTCAAACCAAAATGAGAGCGGCACTAAAAGGGGGGGTGAATTTGTACAACAGATAAAAATGATAAATTTAAATAATTTTAAAAAACTTCATATGATGAAACTCTTAGTTCGGCGTAAACCATTTTGAAAAGACGTTTGACTCGAATAAGTTTGTAAGTGAGTAGAGAGGAGGGGATTGGACATTTTGCAATGAAGTAAAGTAGAATGCAACAAAAGTAAAGTATGCACCAAGAAGAGAACACACCAATTTTATAGTGGTTCGGTCATCTGACCTACATCCACTACCGACACCTCCTCGAACGAGGTCACCGATTTCCACTATTGATCTTTCTTGAAGGGCAAAGATCAATCACCCCTTTATAGAACTTTCACAAGTGAACTCTCAACTTTTGTAAGCTATTTCACTATAGTTTTGGTTTGGTTCTTATCACTTCTCTGTGCTTTACTAGTTGAGAAGTAAGGGACAGTTATAGCCCTCAATTGGAATAAGAATTAGAGTTAAAAAGTATCACATCCCTGATTTTTGGGTATTGGCGGTACCATCGCCATTATTGGGTGGTACCACCGTTTGCAGGCTAACACTGGGCAGTACCACCATCTAGTCCGATGATACTACCGCTTGACAGAGCCTCGGAGACTAGGCCTAGCGGTACCACCGCCTGACAGGGTGGTACCACTGCCTAACAGAGCGGTACCACTGCCTAACAGCCTTTATGGTTGGTGATACCACCGTCCAAATCTCCTGGGAGGCTGAGCCTCATGTGGTTCCACCGCCCACCCTAGGCGGTGCCACTGCTTGGTAAGGCTCCAAGTGGCTGAGTGGGCTTTCTATCTGACCCAACTCAGCCATGTTTTGAGTCCAATTGGCCTCTAACTAAGCTAGTGGGATTACCTCACAATCCTAAACATAATTATGTGCTAACTTCGATTTTTAAGGTATACACTAAACAAAACAAGTCCGGTAAGTCTAAGTTTCTTCCAGCGAAGCGAACTTCCGATGATCTTTTGATAATCTTCTAGAGGACTCCCGACAAGCTCCTGGACTTTATAATGATCTTCTTGACGATTTTTGACGAGCTTCTTTGGCAAGCTCCTTGACTTCTCAACCAATTTCAGTGGTACTTTCGACGAACCTCCGGACTTTCGACGAACTCTCAAACTCCTAACGAATTCTCGATCTTGATTCCGACACTTCATTTTGCTTTATGCCTTGATCGCTATCGTAGTTAATCATGCACACTTTTATCAATATATAGATTTGATCAAACAATTTATCAATTGATTTCATATCAAAATTCGAGATTCAAAGTTAAAGCTTAGATTGACTTTATAGATGAATGTACTATTATTAATTTTGGCTTAAGATTTAGATTAACTTATAAGAGTTTGATGATAAATATATTATTATAAACTTGGATTTAAGTATTTTAAGTTTAATCACTGAGATCCAATGAAGTTAGTCGGATAATTATCCCATCAAATATAAATAATTTATTTTATTATTTTAGAAAAAAATTAATAAAAATTAACAAAATATGAATCGATTATGAAACATCACTTAATCATATTAAGGTGCCCATAAGTAAATTCCTATGAGAGGAAAGTTCTGGGATTAGTATTATATAGATTTTTTAAAGTAAATTATGCATGAATTTTTTTTTTACAAAGAATAAATGATGAAGATAAGATTTTACGATAAGCTATTAAGATCTTTACTAGCTAAGTTATTATTTTTGAAAATACATATCTTAAATTTTAAATGTTTACCATTAAATTATTTTTTTAAAAGGGTTAATTGTGGAAGAGCATCCATCCACGTGGGCTAAACCTCTCGGCGTCTACATTTACCTTGGAATACACCCTAATGTGTTACCACACAAACCAACTGAACTAGCGGGCGCAGATGTCGACCTTGGGTCCCTCGTCCTCGTCATGACAGCAAAGCAACACGAGATCAACGCCAAAATTAGGTTCATATATCAGTTTCTTTCACCCGAATAATATACCTGCCTTTTGATTGGAGAATACTTGAACTCGCCGCTCGATCGAAGGCTAGGGTTGAGGTACGGATAGGGCCCTTTCTTTCTTAACTTTGTATGGGAGCGTATCGTACCGGTATGTTTCTGGTTTCCGTCGTCTCCTTCCTCATCCTTCGTTCCGCTCCGTTTTCCCTATCGTTCTGCGACTTCCTCCGCAACCCCCCTCTCTCTCTCTCTCGCTGTGTCAGAAGCAGATGCAGCAGAGGTAATCTCTTCCCTTTTAATTGTTCGTATATTCTCTTCTAATGCTTCGAGGTCAAATCCGTAGCGTATTGAATCTTTGGAACCCTTTGATTCGTTTCTTTGCTGCGCCGGTATGAAGAATCGAGCAACTCCATGTACGATCCCTCTTTCTCTCTCTGTCAGAAGCAGATGTAGGAGAGGTAATCTCTCCGCTTTGATCCGTTGCCTTTTTTCAAGCGTTTCGATGCCCTTCGAGGTTGTATCCTTATCAGATTCTAGGATTGAGTTTGAATCTTTGGAACCCTAATTCGTACCTTTGCTGCGCCGATCTGAAGAATCGAGCAGTTCCATCTGTGGTTTTTGTTTGATTTGTCGTCGTTGATGCCTTTTCGTGTCGACTTGTAAGAACTCTTTTTTGGCATTGGTCGTGGCAGGTATAGGAATGTTCACGCAAGTTTGGTACTACGAAATGAGATTTAGTTTCCTGAGAAAATTGCTATTCCCATTAATTTGGGGCCGGAAAAGATGTTAAGTGTGTGCGAAAACAATGATTTTGATGCGTCCCTTGATTTTTTATATAGGAGATCAATCATTCCATGATTGTTCCTTTTCTTATCTTTGTTGCCAGATCTTATGGCACCCTAATGATGATGTGTGTAAACCCTCATTTTGTTCTCTCATTCTGAATTGCTGCTTTGGATTACCATAAAAGATTACATGTCGTGCCTCAACTAGTATATAAAACTTCCTTCAGCTTCCAATATTGGTGTTATATCGAATCGATCATATTAGACTTTTTTATGGTGAAGGGGTGAACAAGCTCGAGGACTTTGTTGCCTTGGTAACTGGTCTTGTTTCTTAGCCATGAAAATTTGATCAGCTTGCTTCCTAGCTGGCAATTCAACAACTCCGGTTATATAATTCTATGGATATGGAATTTAATTGGTTTTTATTTATTCAAATCCCTGCCCTTGAAACTTCTTCTGGGGGAAAATCTGAAGATCCCTCTCAGATTTAAGATTTTGGCATGGTTGGTTCACTGTGGTCGAACATATACTGAAGATATTCTTACCAAAAGAGGCATCACCGTCGGTGAACTCTGTGTTCTCTGTAACACATAGATAGATAGGCAAGGAGGGCCAGATCTGTTGCCAACCCAATCCAGCTAAACAATGCTTGGTGTTTACCCTTGACATCTTGACAATTGGGTTGGACAATGTTTCTTGCAAGTTAAGAATAAGATGGAATGGTACTGCTGCATGTCACAATATTTTATTTAGTTGGACTGAAAAGTGTATCTTTGAGACCAAGACTTTTGTGATTGAGCTTCTGATTTTCTAAGCTTTCCTGTATCAATAATCCGAAAGGGCTTAATATAACCTCCTGTTGTGATCTTCTTCTTCACTCTGTTTGCTCCCTCTTCTCTCCTATGTTTCTCTTTTTCTTGTTTATTTTTTTATTCTTTTGTTTTTAAATAAAATCCAGGGGATTATTCTTTAGACATCTTCTTATGGTGCAAATGGGTTTTGGTGTACGTGGGTTCTCTTTTCGTAACAATGCTTCTTTCTCTTGTTGAAATGCAGCTTGGGCATTGGGTTTTTACTTGGCTGCATTGGCAACAGTGTTTGAATGACTGACATGACATTCATTAAGTGATATCTAGCGATTTGATGGCTCAGAAGCAGCATATTGCGATTTTCACAACTGCAAGTCTACCATGGATGACTGGAACTGCTGTCAACCCTTTGTTTCGTGCTGCTTATCTGGCAAAGGATTCTGACTGGGATGTCACTCTGGTAATTCCTTGGCTGTCATTAAAGGACCAAGCATTGGTATATCCAAATAAAATCACATTTAGTTCACTGGTGGAGCACGAAGCCTATGTTCATTGGTGGCTCAAAGAGAAGGCTGATTTTATTTCAGGATTTAAGATCACATTTTATCCTGGAAAGGTAATATACGCAGAAGAAAATCATGAACCTTTACTTTCAGTATATATATTTTGGTGGATTGCATAATTGTCATCAACTACAATAATTTAAGGGTTGTCGTTATTGAAAATATTAAACGTACCCTACAGGCCTTCTTTTCACTGTACTTCATGTTTCCAATTTAAGCTGTCAAATGCTGATTGAGTGGCTCGATCTAAGTTTCAGCCATGGTATACAAATAGTAGTACATTACTCTTTTTACTTAATTAAGAACTTGCATGTTATTTATCTAAAATTGCAGTTCTCAAAGGAGAAAAGGAGCATTCTACCTGTTGGGGACATCACCGAGACAATTCCTGATGAAGTGGCAGATATTGCTATCCTTGAGGAGCCAGAACATCTTACATGGTACCATCATGGACGGAGATGGAAAACCAAGTTCCGGAAAGTGATAGGTGTTGTTCATACCAATTACTTGGAATACGTGAAGAGAGAGAAAAATGGACAGATACAAGCTTTTCTCTTGAAATATGTCAACAGTTGGGTTATTCAGATCTATTGCCACAAGGTTAGCGTGTTGCAAGAGTCATGCCTATCCAAGTTCTTGTTGTTTCCGTTAGAACTTTCAATACATTGCTAGAATCATGCATGTCCATTTAACTGTTGCATGGCAATTTTTCCTTTGACTAACTGAAAAAGTGAATCCTATCACAAACAAATGATTGTAAGCTGTGGCATACAGAGCTATGTTAGCTATGGATGGTAGTCTAAAATCAGTGGCATTTACTACCATAATACTGATCATGATTTATATCACCAAAAGCTGAGAAGTCAATCATCATCAAGTTTTGGTTAAGCCTAGTTCAAACACACAAATTTCTCAAGTTACAGAAACAGTTTAATGGATTTGATGTCAGCCCTTTTTCAACATACTCTTTTGGCAATAACTATTACTTGCAAACAAGAAGAAAACTTTGTTCACTAGACCTTGTTGAGCTTTGACACCTATCTGCTGGTCATAAAATTGGAATCGGGTTTTGGATTGATCAGCGGCAATTAGGTCGATATCAGTCATTTTGACCGAGTGACATCTGTGGGATCATATTTTGCTGGGAAAATAATTTAAAATTAAAAAATTGGAACCTAATGACATGTGATGACATGAAACTTCATGAGCATCCTTAAATTTACCATAACAAGAAGTGTATTCGTTGCCATGATAAAATTCACTAATAACATACAAGAAACTAAAATAATGAAACTAACAATAAGAGAGTAATATCAAGATGTTTTGCTAAGCAAGGTTCGTCATACCGTAGTGTACTGCTCGGTACGGGCAGTACATATCGATCCGACAAGAGACTGATATAGGCGGTACAATCGGTGTGCCCCCATGTACCATGTGTCGGTATGGCTCGGTATAGTTTGGTTCATATCGTATGAATAATTGATCGATACTGTCACATCCTGAAATTTTTTTTTTTTTTCATATCTTTCCACACATTCAGGCCAAGTAGATAAACATCACTTTATTCATCATTCATAAACATTTATTACAATTCATTTATTCATCAGATCACAAATAGAAAAATAAACATAGTGATGTTAACTTCAAGAATCATCCAAGTGGCTCTACCTAGCTGGAGAGGAAGGTTCGCTCTCCACTGGAATCCGATTTAGTACTAGAGGGAGGCTGCTCTAAAAATCAAAAACAAAGAAAATTCAGCAACGCTGAGTAGGAACCCCAAACATCAACTCAAAATAAATACATGATCAAAATTCAATTAATCATCCCATTGGCGTATATCAAATACCCGAAGGAGCACTCCCCAATAGCGGATGGAGAGGCTTTATCCTACGGGATGAGTTTGTGTTCTCCCAATAGCGGATGGAGGCAAACTCATATCGCACTCCCAACAGCGGATGGAGTGGTGTCCCTCACCCGCCAAAGTGGGGACACGTTCCTCCAAATAGCAGATGGAGGAACCGTCCAGCCGTCATGTTTGACGACCCGCTAATCCCCGAAGAGAATCTTCCTACCTGCTCTCGGCAGGAAAATAACATAATCTCACACTAGTCATGTCCATGTCGGGATGAAATAACACATTTAAAATATCTCTTTCAAATATCATCAATATCAAATAATACAAATTAGTCATCAATTGACTTGAACTCTAGTTCAATTGATCCAATTGAACTCGATTTACTAGAACCTAACTGAACCGATCTCTAATCCTCATTTAATTGGTTTAGAACCACCCTAGACTAGTATAATTTGGACTAGATTAGGTTCAATTTAGGTTAAACTGACTTGAATAAGTCAATCAATTCGGAATCACATTGAATCGATCTAAACTAATCAAGCCTAGTTTAGTTCAATCAATATTTAAGCTTAAATCCAACAATAATATTGGGTTAGATTGGGTCAGCCCATCTACTGGTCATGTACATTACACATAACTAGGCATGCATCATACAAAGCTGGCCCAGCCCTGGCCCATGGACTGGTCAGGTGCGTCGCATATGACCGCCCATGATGGTTGGGCTGGGTTAGCCTACGGGCCAAGGCTTGACCCGTGGGTTGGGCCTGGCCTACGGGCTGGGCCTGGTCTGTGAGTAATTTCAATCCAATTTCATACCATAACATATATATTCACTCTCTTCAGCATAGTGTAACTCCTCGTTCCTCCCGCTGCTAGGCTCGGCTAGGTGAGGAACGAAGGAGAGAAATCCCTCCCCTTAAATAGGAGGAGGTGAACCTCCATTAAAAGAAATTTATTTTCATTTTCATACTTATTTAATATAAATTATTTCTATTTAATATACTAATAAATATGATATCACCCTATTTGGAATGTTTAATAGTTATTTCTTAATTCGTATTAGCAAACAAGGAAATAGATTAAGATTTCCTAAATTACAATAATAAGTAAAGAAAAAAATTTAATTTCTAACTTAAATATTTGATTTGATTACAGATACATCGGTAAGGACTAATAAAGCGAACCATGTTGTTGAGTGTCTTAAATGATGGTTATAGTGACAAACCTAAACACTGTTCATATAAATCACTGTTTGCCAAAGAGCATCCCAAAAGTATCTAAGTATCTAACAGGAAATCATAAACATTTCCTGAATTTAAAATCATTTACTATCTGAAGTATCTGTCATGTACCCAAGAAGCATTATACAGGTTGTTCATGTTAAACTTATCAGTTTTTGTGGAACCTTACCGAATTTAGACTAATGAAAATTTCTAGGATAGGCAGTCATAAAAATATAGCCATGGTGGATAGGCAACTATTTCTGTGGGCTTAAATGGTCATGTAACCTTGTACCAGATGTCATAAATATAACTACATAATCGATCTGGATGGAGGGAATTTGGTCATAGGTCGATATAATCATATAACTAGTAGAATCGGAAGAATGCTGTCTTTCTCGAAGTCATGATGTTATAGGCTTGTTCTTGGCATTTATTTGTATGGCATATTGCAAGCTGGATACGTGCTTCTCCCATATCAGAAGATATCTGGACTCTAGAATTGTTCTTCATGCTAGTACATGCTTCTTATCTTTGCTAGTGGTTTGTCCATTTTTGTTCTTTGTCAGCATTATCCATGCTGCCCAGCATTATCTAAATGATCTTGGATCATTTTATATTATTGAACATAGGAAGAACCAAAGAGTGGATGATGGCTTGAAGTATGCATAGGTTTTATGTTAATAGATAATTGGGATTAAAATTCAGGGGGAGTTTCCGAGTGCACAGAAGGAAAAAACTAGCACTTACTAAGACAAATTAATATCATGGGACAAGGTTAAGTGGGAACTTCCTGTGACATGGCTAGTTGTTTTTCTGGGTTTCTGCATGTTGTCACCACATCAACTTATATAGAATTCTGTATGCAGACATTTGTCCTAATTAAATTGCTGATTTATCATACTCAAAATTTTCCTCTTACAAACCATCCGCTTACCTAACATTTATGTTATTACAGGTTGTGAGATTATCAGCTGCCACCCAAGATCTCCCAAGGTCCATCATCTGTAATGTCCACGGTGTAAACCCCAAATTCCTCGAGGTTGGGCAAATGAAGCATGGGTTAAAAGTAGAGGGAGGTCAAAAGGCCTTTTCCAAGGGTTCCTACTTTATTGGGAAGATGGTTTGGAGTAAAGCCTATACTGAACTCCTCCAACTACTCTCACAGCACCAAAACGAGCTTTCTGATTTACGAGTAGACTTGTATGGAAACGGAGAAGACTTTGATGACATTCAAAAATCTTTCAGTAAATTGACACTGGGTGTAAGAATTTATCCTGGCCGTGATCATGTGGATTCTCTATTTCATGAGTAAGCCCTCAAAACCTTATTTGCATCGCATGTTGCTTCTTCTTGGCTACTTATTTGTGTTCGTCCAGACTGAATATATTAAACTTTTGCGAGTAAATTTTTTTGAGTGAACGTGTTAATTTTATTCGGTTGTTATTTTATATATCCTCCAATAAGTTGAGAAATAAGCTTATCGAAAATACCCAGTTCTCTATGTATTTGTTGATCTTACATTTGTATTCCTGTTGTTTCAGCTACAAGGTGTTTATTAATCCGAGCACCACAGATGTGGTTTGCACGACAACAGCAGAAGCTCTTGCAATGGGAAAGATTGTCATCTGCGCCAACCACCCTTCAAATGAATTCTTCAGGCAGTTTCCAAATTGCCACATGTACAATACCAGCAATGAGTTTGTGCAATTAACTCTTAGAGCTCTAGTCGAAGAGCCTCTTCCCCTTACAGATGATCTTAGGCATGCACTATCCTGGGAGGCAGCCACAGAGAGATTTGTCGAGGCCGCAGAGCTAAATGAGGTCATCCGAGAGAAAACGCTTCTCTCTCCCAAGCCTTCAATGCAAATGCCGTCTGATGACTGGAGGAAGAGTGTAGAGGAAGCATCTGCATTCTTGCACAATACCATTTCCGGGATTGAGGTCGCACGCTGTGCCTTTGGTGCGATACCGGAGACTCTGCAACCTGATGAGCAACTCTGCAAGGAGCTCGGCTTGGATTTCCCGGAACATAAGATGTTTTTCAGACATTAAATCTGCTGGTTCTTCTTACACTTGTGTCCAAATTACTTGTGTGCAAATTGTAACACGGCCTCGCATTCTTGCACTCGGATGTATCATCACTCTTGCAAATTATCACGGAGTTGCTAAAACGTAACATGTTGTTTCTTACTTACACCTTAGCTCGACTCATCTGGATTGCTGTGCTTCTTATTTTTGGTCTCAAGTCTCTCATTACAGAACTGTTGCAAGATGCTGTAAATGAACAATTAAGCATGCTGAGTGAGTCATCACTTGCATTTGGGTAGTTTGTTTTTGCTTTTCATGTTTCCATGCATATCATGAAGGGAATAGGGTGATAAATTTTGATAGGTCCAGCCAACGTAATTGTATATGATAAATTTTGATAAATTTTGCTTTTCCTTTGCAGCATCTTCGGACTACCGCCGTCGTCGTCGTCGCCAAGACGCCATCATCATCTCTCCCACATCAGATCGGATCAAGAAACGACCGATGGAACTCCCAACTCCTTCTCATCTCATCACCCAGCGCACGCGTCCAACTGGTTCGACCGGTTTCGATCTTATGTACGCTGGACTACCTAAAAGTCGACGGCATTCAGGGGGGTATTCTCATTCTTCTGTTGCATCTGCGGCTCATCATATTGACTTCTCTCTCCCATCACTCGAATAAGGCAACCTCGTCACATCGCACGAGTCCTCCTCGAACCTCCAAACTTTCGAGGAGGTGCCTCAAAACAACGAAGGTAAAAGGCATCCACTTAGCACTCGGTCACTTCTAATGATCACTAATAAATACATCACAATGTAATTTTTGTTGACTACGACGTATAACAGATATATCTCAAATCATCAGATGATTTAACATCAAAAGTCATGCTGTAAAACAAAATTATCCAGTCATAGTCTATGTTAGCTTGAGAATTTTTTTTTTAAAAAAACAAAGCAATTAAAGATTTACAAGTTATCTAAGTACAAATAATGACACTGTTTATCATAATATTGACATTAATGGCAAAAATCCTACATATACTCGAAATTTTTCTCTCACTCCTTTTTACCTACTTTATACACTCAACAACGAGGAGGAACAAAAGAATCGACCGGTAATTCCTCTATAATGATTAAAACAGATTCTTGTTGGTATCAAAACGATGGCCGATGATAGAAAAAATTGCAGTCAGTTGCATTTCTTCTTACTACATGCACTTGAGGTCTTTAATCGATACAAAGAAAACAAAATTTCTTGAAAGAAACAGCAGAACTCACCACCATGCGACTCCTGAGAACTGCAAACTATTCCATCTCATAGAAACTCACCAATGTGTCGAGGGCGAATGTGTAAGATCAATACTAATTGAGCTCAGAGCATTAGTTTTCTGTTGATATGCCTTGAAAAACTGATGTGTCTCGTTGGTCATGAAAACAATGCCCGCGCTGGGAACAACTCTGAAGTACTCAGGGAGAATACCACGATACGAGCCTCCGTATCCTTCGGTCCTAATTATGTGCTTGAATGTTCCCAAGAGGTCAGAATTATATGCACAAACCCTTCCAGTTGCCCCTTCCGAATGCATTCTTTGTCTCATGAGATGCAATGGTGAATGTCACTGCAAAATCATATTGCATATGTAAGCAAAACGGATTCTTACTGATCTGACCAAAGAAGACATTTATGACCAGCAAGGAAATGTACCAAGTTTAAGTTACAAGTAAATATAATAAACATTAGAGTTACGATGCAAAGAATATTCAACAATAAAAAATCATGAAACCATGGAATCCATAGGGTCGATTCAAATAAATGTTTGGTTAGGCGTTTGTGCTCCAAAACTTTCAATCAAGGCACTGAAAGATAGATCTGTGAGTCTAGTTTCCAACGAAGCATGTTTTGCACAAATCAAAGTTTCCAACAAGGAGTTATAAACAGTTTAGTATCGAAATGTCAAAAATTACTGTCCCTATTTTGCAGAATCAGTAGGGTCAATTAAAACAAAAGTTTGGGCAGTCATTTGAACTCTGAATCTTTCAATCAAGGTATAGAATGAAAGATCTACGAGTCTACTTTCAAATAAAGCAAGTTTTGCTCACATCAGAATTCGGTACAAAGAGTTATAGCAAGATCAAGGAAGATAGGTCATAAATCTCGAAAATTTTATATTCAAAACTTTACATCTAAACGAGAGGGATAGCAGATGCAAAGGTTAGAACTCTTCAAATTTCTCATAATCAAGGTAAAAGCAGAGATTAGAATTGTTGTAGGAAAGGGTTAAAACACTTGTCTTTGAAAGATTAGATCCCAAATGAAAGAAATTGCTCCAAAACCCTATGCCCAAATCACTTCCCCTTCTTCCCTTTCTTTTCCTCTCTTCTCCACCGATTGCTGCCTTCTCAAGTTCCTTAAGAACGAAGGCAGAGATAAAAGGCGATGGAAGATATTTTTGTTTTTGTGCTTTTTGCAATTCACTCCTTATATCATTTATATTTACAAATAGATCATCAGATTTTACAAATAGGTCCTTTGAGCCCACTCAGATAATTAATAAAAAAATCCTAAGAAATAGAATCATTCCTCTAGTTAACGTGATTTGGAAGCATCATTCTATTGATGAAACTATTTGGGAGCTAGTGGAGGAAATAAAAAAGCTTATCCTCATCTTTTCATTGATTTAGAATCATTCCTCTAGATATAATAAATTTAAAATTTAGAGGACAATTTTTCTTTTACGCGGCGGGGGGGGGGTGTGGTTGTGTTTAATATCCCTTATTTTTGAAATGATTATAAGGACCTAATTATAAAATTTAAGGACCTATTTATAAATCTGAGGATCTATTTGTAAAATATGAGGACCTATTTGTAAATCTGAGGATCTATTTATAAAATCTGAGGACCTATTTGTAAATATAAATGATATAAAGATTTACAAAAAACATAAAAAGATAATATCTTCCACCGCCTCTTATCTTTGCCTTCATCCTTAAGGAACCTGAGAAGGTAGCAATGGATGGAGAAGAAAGTAAAAAAGGGGAGAAGAGGAGAAGAAGTATTTAGGGCTTAGGGTTTTTGCTCAAAATTCTCTTATTTGGGATCCAATCTTTCAAATACAAGTGTTCTAACCAAGGTCTACCATACCGAAGCATACCGCCCGTACTGGGCGGTACGTACCGATCCGACAGGTTACCGGTACCACTACAGTGCTACAATATTATATTGTAGCACTGCTACAGTACTACAGTATTATACTGTGGCACTGCTACAGTATGAAAAAATATATATATAATTATTCGGTACACCAGGGTGTACCGTTCGGTACGCCCTGATGTACCGCCCGGTACACCGGTACCGTACCGTACCGAGCCCGGGTCGAAACGCCTGTACGGTACGGTACGACGAACCTTGGTTCTAACTCTTTCCTACAGTGATTTTTAATCTCTGCTTTCATCTTAATTATGGATAATTTGAGAGATTATGGTCTTGCACATTATACCTATCTCATTTAGATATGAAACTGTAAACCCAAAATTTTTCGAGATTCTGACCTTTTTGCCTTGTTTTAGCTATAACTCTCTGTACCGACTTTCAATTTGAACAAAACTTGTTTTATCTGAATGTAGACTTGTAAACCTTTCTCTTGATAGCTTACTTGAAGGATTTGGAGTAGATTTGTCTACCCAAACATCTAATTGAATCGGCCCTATGAATTTGATAAAATAGATAGTCAGATACCGTAATTTCTGACCTTTAGTTACTAAATTGCTTGTAACTCTTTGTTGAAACTTCAATTAATGAAAAGCTTCTTTCAATGGAAACTAAACTCGTAAATCTTTCTTTTCATACCTGATTTGAAAGATTTGAAGTACATATGCCTATTGAAACATTTATTTCAATTAATCCTACTGATTCTGCAAAACAGGGATGATAAATTTTGACCTTTCTATACTAAATTGCTTATAACTCCTTGTTAGAAACTCAAAACTTTACAAATCTGGATTCATCTAAAAATAGACTGATATAGCTTTCTATTGATACCTTTCTTGAGTAATTTGGAGCATAATTGATTGTCCAAATAATTCATGCAATGTGCTTCACAGATTCTACCATAACAGAATTTTCACCAATTTTGCCTATTCTCGTTCCATCTCTTTGAATTTAAATTTATCTAGAATTCTTCCTTCAATTGAGCCTTATGTGAGTGCCTTGAACTCTTGCATACTCGTCTTTAATTCTTTTCATATCTAAATGCATTATGCGAAAGTTTATGTTTGCATCGTATTGTTTCATATAGACACATATATGTTTTCGTTGTTTCGCATATGCTTCCGATATGCGCCAATTTTATTGCTCACAATGTCCTTTTGTACTCTGGTGTTTATGGGATAATGTGAACCTCTTTTCAAAAATAGGAAAGGGAGTTATGTTTAGAGCCCGCGATGCTCTATCGGGCGTCTTTAACTTCATCCAAACGTAGGTGGATGGAGCTCCCAAACGTGGGAGACTTATGTTTGGTGGTCATTTAGAAATAGATGGACCATATTATGTTATGATCCCACTTCACCCTTTGTGTTTTTGATATGATATCCAAAGCATTGCTTATGAGTTTTTATATACGCTTTGGATAAAAATGAATGCAACATCAAATATGACATTTGAGCTTATGTTTCTTATTTGTTCTTTCGATATGCTCCAAAATATTTCGGAGCATATCAATGGCATATGCTCCAAAATATTTTATATATCATTGATATGCTCCAAAATATTTCATATGATATTAATATGCTCCAAAATGTTTCATATGTCATTAATATACTTTGAAATATTTTAAACACCATTGATATGCTCCGAAATATTTCATACGTCGTTGATATACTCCGAAATATTTCATGCGCTATTGATATGTTCCGAAATATTCCATGCGCCATTGATATGCTCCGAAATACTTCTTACGTCATTGATATGCTCCAATTACTTTTTACTCCACTTGTTATGAACCAAATATATTTTAGATGAAATGATATTTGCGATTCTATATCCAATGAGATGATATCTATGAACTCTTGTATCCCTGCCTTGCATTTTGATACGATGTTTGTTTGAAGCTATCCTCTCTCGCCATAGATATGTTAATCGCTTGCTGAGTTTTGTAACTCACTTTGT